CTAATTAGACCCCTGAGTGTTTTACTGACAGTGCTTTTATATTTTGCTGACAACCCTTTAAAGTCAAATTTGATTCATATATGAAAGAATAATATAATGCCCTCGACAACTAGGTGAGTAGAAGGAGAATTAAAGGAGCATGGAAGAGGTTACTGGCCGGTCTAGTCTTCTCATTAAATATCCACTATCACATTAAAATGTATGGTACATTATAGCTGGGCAATGTCCAAGCCAAGTGAGCCTGCAATCTTCATAGTATGTAACCCTTTATAGAAGTGTCATCTATTTAAAGAGCCCGATCAATATCTGTTTAACCTAAGGGTCTATCATCAGAATTTAAAATGTTCTTGAATTTTATGTTTTAAAGATGTCAGATACAAGTGTATTGTACCTCTTTTTAATAGACAAGTGCCAAAAGAACTGACCTTTTCTAACAGCAATACTTTTAAAGCATTGGCCGTCATATGTAAAAGTATTGTTTGAGACCCAGACTTTCAATACCTGGAACTTGTGCTGATAAAGACAGACCAATTCATGGTAGCACTTATCGTATCTTAAATGCAGAATAACATTTTATAAATAGACCAATTATATCCGCCTCTTACATCAAACCCCTCCCGTTAATGCAAAGAGATTTTACTGCTACATACATGAAGGAAAACGAGTTAAAGGAGAACTATGATGTGAGTGCTTTTCACTCACCTCATAGTTCTAGCCGACCTGTGACAATTAATTTGTTACGGGTTGGCTCAGTAGATTGGGAGGTGAGCGAACACATACCGGCGTTCGCTCACCTCTCGATCCTGTCACGGCTCTCTGCCGTGACAGGGGAGGGGCTGGATTCCCCCCTCCGATCTGCCAGTGCTGACTGGCGCAATGGACGGGGGTGGGGCGGGTACAGCTGACTCTGCCTCTAGATAGGCAGACATAAATGTCGGGCTCCGCTTCAGCGTCTTAGTATACCGTGAGCAGCACCTCGCGGTATACTGAGCCTAGGGTAACGGGAGGACGCTAGTTTGTGTCCTCCCGTTACCCCTAAAGAACTATGGTAAAAAGCCTAAACCCCATAGTTCTCCTTTAAGGAATGTCTAGGGTGTCTACCTGGGACATGACTGAAAAACTCTCAGTAATAGATTTGGGAAATTTATAAACATTAAAGCCGTTAACTGCCAAATTTCCATGTGTACTTTTTGCATCTTTGCAAGGCTTTGTCATTGTTTATGTTGAATTACTTAAAATATGTAAAACTTAACAGACCCCATGTATTTGTTCCTTTTTAGTCTGTTAAATATGCAAGCATTTTGTTAGATATGTTCAATAGGTGCAAAAAAAAAACCTTGGATCCTGTCAGAAATTCTTAACTGTTCACTAATCAGTCCTGTGAGCTCTCATCTTGGATTACAAAACTCCTGCCCCTTTGTTATGGAGATGGGGAAAGGAAGAAGAACTTTGCAGAATAGCAAAAGACAGCTGGGCAGGGCTGACTCTTTCTTGCAATTTCAGTCAAGAAAAGGCACTGTGATGTCAGTCTACTGAGTTTGAATGTCCAGGCCAAAATGTAGCAGTATCAGAATGTGTCAGTTAAAATGGAAATAACTCACTAATTTGCATAACTAAATTTTTTATGAAACATTTTGAGGGCATAAGGCTATTATTCTGGACACTTATCATGACTAATACAATGTTTTGTTATATATAGGCTGTAACAAGGACACTCCACTGTAGTCCAGGTAAGTCAAGGAAACCACAGTTTATTGAAAGGGCAAACACAAAATAGCTTGAAACAGCAACATAAGACAGTCATTTAGCTTCGCTCGGTAGCTTTCCACAGCTTCAAGACACTCACGCTTGCTCACCCCTCGTGAGCCCTCACTCTGCTCTCTTAGTAGTCTGTCCGACAGGTCCCTAGGGTCACCGACCTTCCTGACCTCTCCCAGCCACCCCTGGCTGTTCCGTGTGCGTCCAGCACGCACCCGAGTTTGTCTGTGTGCTCCCTGCACGCACACACACACAACTCCAACACTCTCCTGAGCACTGGGCTGGCTTCCTGATAAAGTTGCTCTCAGCCACCTGATTAGCCCAGGCTGGTCATTGGCAACACCTGGCCCCAGGACTGGAGATCTCATCCCACCCAGAGCTCTACGAAATCTCCAGAGCTCCAGATCCCAGCTGCAAATAGGAAAACCTGGAATAACCTGAAAAGCCAGGTTCTTCCTTATAACCTGCTTTACTTTCTGGACCCTCTCAGCCCCTTTGGCTGAGAGTCCTGGGTGCCAAGGTCGCCATCCTCCACCGTGGCATTGGCTTACACTGCCACAAGGCTGATAGAGTGACTGCAAGATTGGGAACCATTATGATTGGTTTCAAATTACCAAGTGCCAAGCTGCAGCTAATAAAGCTAGTAGTATATTATCTTGCATCAAAAGAGGGATTTATTCATGGGATAGAAATATGATTTTGCCCCTTTACAAAACACTGGTAAGGCCCCCATCTTGAATATGTGGTGCAACTCTGGTCACCAATCCTCAGGAGGGATGTCCATGAGCTTGAAAAGGTTCAGAGAAGGACAACCAAATTAATAAAAGGGATGGAGGGTCTGAGTTATCAAGAATGCCTACAAAAATTAGGATTGTTCTCCTTAGAGAAGAGGCACTTAAGAGGTGACATGATCGCAGTTCACAAACTCATCAGTGGGGACTGCGATATTGGAACACACTACTTAAACTGAGTACTGTGAGGAAGACACACGGGGCACAACAAGAAGTTGGAGGGGAGGAGGTATAATTGTAAACTGCGTAATGGGTATTTTACTTTCAGAGTGGTAAATATGTATCAGCGTGTCTTTATTAGGGATGCACCGATACCGGTACTAGTATCGGTATAGGTGCAGATACCGAGTATTTGGGCAAGTACTCACCCAAATGCTCCCAATGCCTATCCCGATACCGGAACTTCCCGTATTAGGAAGATGGGCAGTAAGTCATTACACGCTGCCCGACTTCCTGATCGGCCAGAAAGCCTGCTCCATGATCCCTCGTCACTAGGGAGCATGGAGCTGGCTTCTCGACCAAATAGGAAGCCGGCTCCATGCTTCTTATTACCTTATGTTGGGAAGCTGGACAATAAGGAAGCCAGGCGGAGAGTCCTTACCCCGCCCCCCGCTTCCTGATTGGTCAGAAAGCTGGCTCCATGCTTCCTCGTCATCTGCTAACGAGAGGACATGGAGACGTAGTCCCGACTAATCAGGAAGCCGGGCGGTGAGCCATTAAGGCCGCCCAGGTTCCAGGCTAATTAGGAAGCTGGGCGGGGAGTCATTACGCGCTGCCTGGTTTCCTTAATGGGACTTCCGGTATCAGCGGGTTCCGCCAAAAAAATATCCGTACTCATACTCAATACCGAAAAAACAGTATCGGTGCACCCTAGTGTTTATTCAACCTCACCTACTATGTAACTATATGTAACTAAATTGTCAGTTAGGATCGGAGCAGCCAGGAACCCCCTGCATGGAACAGTAATATGCAGATTGGTAGGGGAGTGGCAAAACCATATACATTGTTGCTCATGTTTCTGTATTGTAAAACAAGTATAAAACTTTTTATATATTTCCTGCTTTTAATTATATAATTCTTGGTCATTTTACCAGCAAGGTATATCCATAGGCACTTCCTTCCCTTGTGTGAAAATGCTTACTCAATTCAGCTCCATAATTGTCACCCTTTTAAGCACACTCAAATCTTACTGAAAGCAGTTGTGCCAAGGCACAGAACACCGACAGGTTTGGCTGCAGTCACCACATAAAAAACTGAACTTCAGAGACTGCTGGACACATGTCCTGAGGAAGTTCACATAATGCAATCATGTAGATGAAGTAAAGTTAATAAAAGCCTTGGAAAGTAAGGGTAGTAAATATCCCATTTTGTATAGTTTTACTTTTCAGTGACAAGATCCAAATTGGGAAAAAATCTGAAAGTAAATAAAGTAACTGCATATTTAATATGAATGTCGCTCTTAAATATAATTGCTACAATGGTTTCATCCATTTTTCTTTTCCATTACAGTACTGGTGCTGCTTTTTGTTTTTTTTTACAGAATTGTTAATTGCTTGGGATGATTTTGTACATAATCATGCTTCTGATATTCTACAGAATTCTAATATAATAGTCTGCACCTCTCAGAGTTACTTATCAAATTTAGGTTATTGTTCAAACTGGCTGATGCAGGGCAAAACAGATTTTTCAGGAAGAGATGTCAATCAACGTGGCCAGCCCAATACACACTACCGATTGATTATGTTTTCAGCAGCTCACAGTTAGATAACTTAGGAATGCATTTACAGGAAATTGGTGAAGAAGCACATTCAAGTAGTTTAAAATATAAGCATTGATCCAGGGGTCTGTGTGAAACAGTATTGTCAATCATTGGTTTCAGAAAGCCCTTTGGCATTTTAGAAAGTTTTGAAAACTTCAAAGGATTCCTTAAGTTTTGCTTGGTGGTTGTGTATGTTGAGCTATATAGAAAACTTACTGGACATCGAAAAGATTTGTCAAGAAGCCCTATTTTTGGCATACTGTATATAGTCTTTTATACAAAAAAAAGGTTACTTGATATCGTCAAGTAGCTTTACAAGATAACAGACTTTAAGGAAACCTTTGAGAGAAATGTATGCTGTCATAGATGGTCTTTTTCAACTGAAATTGATTGTTGCTTGGCTGTTATGTCAACACACTGCTTTCAATACCCTTTAAGTCACTGACCTGGAATGTACACATAAGGTTTAAGTCAAAAGTCTTGACTGGCAGCTTTCATCTGGGTTAGTGACTAACTATTGAAGCGAGAGCCAGGAGGAAAGCCAGGGAACTCAGATTTTCAGAACAAAAATTGCAGCCTCTCTTAGGGAAGGCTTCCCTTAACTTGTTATTTAATACTAAAAACAAATAAACCTACTGCTTCAGTGGGTAAGAAAAAGGTCAAAGATGATCTTGCATGTTAGATTCATGTACCTTGTCTCCTTGAATGTTGCTTTGGGGTTTCTCTGTGATTCCATCTGAAACTTTTGTCCTTAAGAAATGCAGTACACCATTGTTCACTGGTTGCCTGGAAACAAAAGCCATTTAGATGAGATGTATCGTAACATACATTTTGAAAGCTTTACAAATATTCCTGCTGCAATGTGTTGGGAAATAAAACTAGTTTTATCTAAAAGATAATTAATATGTGCCAGAATTTTGCTTGTCGTCGATGATGGCTGCCAACTGGGTTGATGTAGTTAGTGTATAAACTAACTTTTAGAGTTTATTTATTCCACAGAGTACATGTGTAATGTGTAATATGATAACATATATATAATGTAATATGAATTATACGTCAGGTAAATTTAACTTTTCAGAAATTTGACTCACTGGTAATAGCTAGATTTTTGTATCTATCTATCTATCTATCTATCTAGCTATCTATCTATCTATCTATCTATCTCTGTATGTAGTTATGCATTTTCTATTTCAAATCCACTAGGGGGTATCAATTCTCCACTGTATACTTTTATGAGGATTGATTTTGTCCAGCTTTAGAGTACTGGAAAATGAAAACATATAAGTCAAAATGTAACAGTTTCAATATGGCAAGTGACGGGATTGTTTACAAAGTTAAGATTTACTGCACGCCTTCTAAAAAATGCATTTTTAACAAGGAGCTCTTTTATAGTAAAATGTGAATGTATATTTCCCTAATGTCTGATGCCTCAGCCAGAAGTTAACTAATAACCAGCAAAAGAATGTAATTATCCTCACAGATGACTTAGGTTTGTGAGGAGTATGGTTTAATAACTTTGTGAATCATAACTGAGTACCAGAGTTAATTAGAAAATGTATGAGCAGGCAACGTCACTGATTATTCCACCATTGTCCTTGGAGTCTGTATGCTACCATTTTTGCTCCGCTCCTCTTGTAAACCATATACCTGTGATCTCTGTGGAGAGTGTGGGGTTAAGGTGACTGCAATAACTCTTACGATTGATACTAACTAGAGGCCGCTGGATCAGGATATAGCCTCCCAGGGGTACTCCTGAGCATACCTATAGGGGAACTCCAACCCCCCATTCGATACGGATTGGCGTATGATGTGCTAGAGGGTTACAACATCCCTCCCTCACATACAGAGTGATAACGAGAACCCTCGATCTGAGCCAAATCCTCACGCTCAGGTTCAAGCCAATTTCCGCAGCTGCGATCCTACCTCAACCTCCTCGGCCCGTGCGTTACAGGAGCCTACTATATAAAGGAAACATGCTAACAAGATGATTTGATGGGAAAGTCTTGCGTCTATTCGCTGACACATGCAGGGTGATAGAGTTTGTTAGCACTGAACCTACATTTTATTTACTTAGAAGTAAATAGTCATAGTCAATCAGACTTGTTCTGTAATCTTGAAGTCATGACCCTCCATATTCATGCAGCTTCTTCAGCTCCAATGATTGTCAGGAGCATACTCTAGCATGTAAAAACACTTGGTGCGATTTTCCTAGAACTACATGGTAGGTGTTAAGTATGTGACCATATACAGTTTACCCATATGTAAGCAAGATGCTTTTGGCTTCTACAACATAGTAACAGTAGATGAGAGAAATATTGATTCAGTTGAAGTAGATTATGGATTCATAGAAGCTATACATTATCTTTTTAACATCAAAGGCTAACCTTTTTTTCTGCATGTCATCATCGCTGCTGCTGCCGCTAACCTCATCACTGGATGAAGAATAATATGATGCTTTCAAATAAGATCTGCCATTGTCTTTTCCTTTTCCCACAAGGTTGGGGCTCTATAGTAGAAAGAAAACTTACAGGTAGAAAATACTTGGAGGCTTCTTTTTAAACTCAGTTTTACCCAGTAATAAAAATTCACTGTCGGTAGATTTCAGTGTATTAAAGAATATCCTCCGTTACAATCGGAGTTCCAATCAATCCCAAGTGGTGTGGGATATACTTTTATACCATTTTCTCCACAGTAGTGATTTCTATCAATGTTCTTATCAAAGCAAAGGGTAATAAAGAGGGGGTGGAGACTGGATACTATATTCTGCTGAAATCACAACAAGGTGGCTATTGCTACCGTGAAGAGTATATGTATAAAATATACAGATTGCCTGTTGATGTGGCACTGGACAGCTAACAGCTTATAGGCAACATTTGTTACCACCATCTTGCTACTCCTGTAATTCTTTGAATCAGACAAAAATGCAACATTTTCTGTTTGCTTCATAAAAGGCAACAGTGCCAAGTATAGAATGTAAGCAACTCTCTACTAAAATCCTTAAGATATACAAGAATGCAACAGGTGGCTAAACTGGACTAATGCCCTTCAAATATAAAGAGTCTCTTTCCAAAAATAAATATTCTAATGAATGAACACAAACAAAAACCCCACACTATTGAATGAACACAAACAGAAAACCGCACAAAAGCCTACCGAAATCTTACGGGAGTCCCGATGCACTTCATTTTCAACTCTTGTTAACTGCTGGGAATGATTCTGCAATACCTGGTTATCTCTGGTTGACCCTAAAATATTAGAATATACATTAATTTCTACTACTTGGAACACATTTATAAAACATTTTATTGGCATCTGGCACTCTTCCATTCCTCATCAATCAAGCATCTTACTTGCAAGGTTGTGGGAGATGTCAAATGATTGGCATATCATACAATATCACATCTTTCAATCACCTCCTTTAAACTTGTAGAACTGTGAAAAGATGATAAATGGTCTGATAATATTCCTGATTTATAGGTGCATTACATGGTCCAGGCCAATACACTACAGTCAACATTGTAGTTTCCCCCCCTATGGCCGACATGATTGTACCCTCCCACCCATGTCATTTATAACATATTGCTTATCCACAAGTTCTGACAATACTTGCCTGAACAAAATGGCATTTGGTAAGGTGAGCCAGAATTTCATGTTACTGCCTAGCTTTAGTGAACAAAACAGTTTTCCTGCTGGTTCAAATACAAAATATTTGGATTACAGTAGTAGCAGTGAGAAAACTGACTGTTATTAAGAGAGTACTGCCATGTTCTCATTTTTAGTTTCCTGTAAGTCTGAACAGACCAATTGTCAGGGGTACCAGCACAGGTTTCCCCAAACCGTATGCAGGTACCCACACAGGTTGGCCAAACATGTATGACCACACCGGACAAGGCAGTATGTGTTTATATACAGTTTATTTGTAAACGGCACAACCAGAATAAACACCAAAAAGCAAACATAAATAAAGAACGTGACCCCAACCAAATATAATCCCCAACACCTATAACATATAACCGGAGCAGAATTAGCAATAAACCAGTAACAGGGTTCAGGACTGCAAACAGGGTTCAGGACTGGTAACAGGACTCCCAGGAAACAGGACTGCAAACAGGGTTCAGGGTTCAGGACTGATAACAGGACTCCGAGAAACAGGACTGCAAACAGGGTTCAGGACTGGTAGGACTGGTAACAAGACTCCAAGGAAACAGGACTGCAAACAGTGTTCAAGGTACAGGACTGGTAACAGGAAACAATACTGAGCCATCATCCTGACTGCAGGGAGGGTTTAAATATCCTCCCAGGAAGCACCAGGTGATGGCTAAGTACTGGAAGATGGGAGACACCCGCAGGTGAGCACTGAAGCTGCAGGTTCCAGCACCACCCAGTGGTGGTCTGGTACCTAACAGCTCCTGGATTCCTGGGGGCATCTGCAGGGCTTGTCTCCGGCGCCACCTGGAGGCGCTCTGGATCCTAACAACAATCAGTGATACATTGATTGGCCCTACAATCCTCCTAAGCCTTAACCTATACGGTGTGCAAACAAATCCTCAAAGGTCTCAATGTCCTCATTTCTTGGAATTGTTGCTTAGATGTTTTTGTCCCTTATCTATTTTTTTTTATAAACAGAAATAAAGCTCTACAAAAGTACCTGTGCAAAACTTTCCTTCTGTTTCCTTGTGTAACAAAGGCATCTTGTTTCCTCTGTTTTTTTCTTTTAAGCCAACCTACTAATTTTCTTTCCTTTCTACATTTTTTACTCTGCACCATTTCCCACACCTTTTGTCGATTTGTCACAATTTGATTTACATGTACAATTATGACCATTAATACTCTTTACTGCTATAGAATTTTCTTGGTAAAGTATATTCATTAGTACAATAGACATTTCACAGCTAGGACCATAGATACCTTTCAATCACAAAATACTATTGAAAATATACACAATTAGAGTAATCAGGAACCTGTTATTTTATTATAAATAGGTTCCTAAACATGTATAAAATATAAAAAGTATAACAGTCATCAAGCAAAACAAAAACTGTGCAGGTGCCCAGTATTGCTCATTTCCTATATACAGCAGTATGCTATATTGTCCCATATATCACTGTATTCTGTACACTAAAATATCACCGTATACTGTACACTTGTATAATAAAGAGTTAAAAATTTCCTGCAAGTGTACTGCAATATCGCTGAAGAAAGTAGTAGGCTTAAGAGCAGAAATCCCAGTGGATAAATAATTTCCAGCAGTACATGCCGGTGGGACAAGTGTGAGTTGGAGAGCACTTTACTGAAATGCTAGCAATGTAACTTTAATAATAAGAAAGAATTATGTTTATATAAAGACAATGAGCAAGTTAAAATGTACGAGTTGTGGGACTTAGCAGAAATCCCCTGGAAGCCTCTCCAGTTCAGCACTTTTTCCCACTGTAAATCTGTTTATCTCCTTGCGAAGGCAGCAATGGTATGGAGTAAGTTCTATCGATTTGCAAGCATCAATTATTTTTAAACCTTCTCCATTTGCTGTGAATGTACAGTACATTAGTTTGTGCTAAATTGCATCTTTTAAGTATTCTAAGGAACTGAAACAAAGTTAAGATTAATCCAATTGTGGTTCATGCTTAAAAGAGCAATAATCTGCTTCTTAGATCTTTTATCTGAAGAAACACAAGCTCGAAGGTGCCCATGCAATGTTCTGAGCTTTTATGAAGTTGTCGGCTTCTGGTCAGCCTATATTCTTTGGTTTTTACCCTTCAAGACCTTTTTAATGATTTTAGGAAGCCTGTTTTATATCATATTTCTGAATTCATAAGTTTAAAAAAATGAGGGTATGCGTACACAAGTGTCCTTTTCCTTTCATTCTTTTTAGTCCAGTTTAATTCTCTTTTAGCTCATAAAGCAGGAAAAAACAGTGTTCCTGATTTATTAAAGGAAAACAATCAATTATCTTGGTATATGAGGTATAACAATGAAAATTTACTTAGCAAAGATTGTCCAATCATGTGCAATATTAAAAAAATAGGATTTTTGCTTGCATGATTAGATGACTGGAGTCAGCACAACTTCACATCATTCACTTAGCCAAGTGAAAATTACCATTGCTAAGAGAAAATTTGCTTAGGCTAGGTAAGGAGGTGAAGTTGTGTTGAGTTCAATCACCCAATCATGTGCAAGTTTTTTTTTGCATTTTCTTTGCACATGATTGAGTATCTTTTGCAAAGTCAACTTTCATCTTATTTACTATGATAAGTAAAAAATATCTTTGCAAAGTGAAAACTCACCTCACTCTTTATTAAATCAACCCTATAGTGACCACAATGTGCTCTCACCTTTTGGTGCCTGTTTTGCTATCCAAACGGGAGTGCATCCTGTCTGTAGAGGTAATTTTGTTTGCATCCTGCTACAACTCATATATACAAGGCCACTCCTCTAGTATCCCTATTTGGAAGATTTGGTGTATTGGAAACAAATAACCCCAACCTGGTTGGCCAAGTCTGTTTGGGGGCTAATAATAAACACACCAATAGTTTACAAATAGTTATTTATGCTCCTGCTTAATCAAGTACTGCAGTGCACAGGAAGCATTTGAATAGGTAGGTTCCACATTAGAGATGAGCTTCACATTTAGAAAGAGCATGGGTTTGCAGTAAACCCAACCTGTTTAGACACTGAACTAAAATGGCCACTCGGCACTATAGCAACCAACTACCACTAATGCACTTCCTGTCCTCTGAACTTGGGTCAGATTGCTTAGAATGGATAACGGGGGCTCTTTTATGTGCCAGCCCCTCCCTATAAAAAGACTGTTTCCAGCAGCCACATTGCCAATGTGCATATGCACAGATTAGCATAGGACCTGTAGAAACACTAGTCTCTCAAGTGGATGTAAACCCTTACCAAATGTCCTTTAGTTAGAAAAATGCAGTGAGTTTTGGGGGTGGGGGAATATTAAGGATTTTTACATGTTAATGCTGCTGGTGTGTGTGTCCTGAAGTCTCTTTACAGCCTCCCAAATGCATGGTCTACAGTCATAACAGTTTGAATGTGCGTTTTTGAAGGACATATTTTCTTTGTATCGGCTTCAATGTATTTTTTTCACAGCCTGTTTCTGTTCACTTGCATTTTACTGCTAAGTGGCTGCATGTGTATTTCCACGGGGCATATTTCCCAATTGTTAATTGCGGCAATAGTTTTTTTTTTTTTTTAAAGCCTTTTTTTGTAAAACAGTGTAATATTCCAGGGTAATGTACATCAGTGAAGAAGTTTATTTTTTTCCTTTGGGAAGTCATGTCACAGGATGGTTTGCAGGAAGGAGATTGTGGGAGACAGGGGAAGAGTGTTGTCAACCTATCACAAAGCACTCAAACAAGGACCTCTATAGGTGCAGTATCACAAGTTGTTAAAGTTATATTACATTTTAGTGGTTGAGTTTACATACACTTTAACCTGTCTGTAACCCCGGATTGATAGCTAGCTCTTCAATTGTTAACACTTGAGCTAAATGTACTATTAAATTAGGATTTGCCTTTTATTTTGCTACATTATAACTGCTTGGAATGATTACAGAGCATGTTATTAACTAATTGCTGTTTCTCCGTTTGAAGATTTCAGCTTGTATTCAACTATGCTTTTTCAACCCCACCCTGAACTGTCCCAGTTTCTGATATAGGCTATTGACTCTGATTAACATACTCTGGTTCCTGTTCAGCTGCCATCTGTACAGGTGTGCGAGAGCCACAACCTGGTACATCCATCATTTAAGTCCATCCCTCCCAGTGGGTTGCTTAGACTCTGCTCCTCTGTCATTTTAAGGCAGGGGTAGCAAACCTCCGGCCCTCCAGCTGTGGTGGAACTACAAATTTCATGAGGCATTGCATGATTCTCACAGCCACAGGCATGACTCCCAAAGAGATGCATCATGGGATTTGTAGTTTCACCACAGATGGAGGGCCGGAGGTTTGCTACCCCTGTTTTAAGGGCTCACCCCCTCTGCAAAGAGCAGATACCAGACAGTCCACTAGCTATTGTTTCTGTAACAATCTTGTTCACTCTCCCTTTCAGAAATGGGCTTTTCAACTAATTAGAAACATTCATCTCTACTATCACCTATTAAGTGTGACTTCCCTGGCAGGTGGTGCAGGCTCAATTGAGGAATGGTGTCTAAGTGACACTTTAGTCTTCGGCATAGCACCCTACAAAAGGAGATGGGTTGACAACCCTAGTGGCCCCAGGGCTACTTTGCTGTGAGATGTCACCAGGTCTTGACCCTCAGCATTGTCCCACTAAGGGGGTCGCAGGAGCAGAAAAGCTACAATGCAAACATAGGTAAACAGCGCTATAACTGGTTGAGGTTCAGGCTGAGGTTAATATTCCTCTTAGTATTGGGGAGGGTTGAAATGCCCCCTTGAACAAGTCTGCATTGATGTGCTGCAAAGGGCAGCTTTGCCTGTGTCAGCAACAAATATACGCTGCCAAATCCTCGACAAAAAAATGAATGGCCCTAGTAAAATAAAAATATACCTATCTGGGTTTTGGATTTATGTTTGCAATTTTCAGACTTCACAACGAGTTCAATGAATGCTCTGTGAACCGAACCCAGACACATTAGCTCATCCCTAATCCACAGTATAGGATGACAGGCAAGAAGCTGCAGCCCCCAAAGCCTATTAAAAGGAATTATAAATCTGCAAATGTGAAGGTTCTATAAAGTATACCGGTAGCCAGGCTACGGACATTATAATATTTATATATTTTAACATCCAGTAAACAAGCTTTAAAACAAGAGATGCAGTAAAGTAATCCAACTTTAGTGTTAGCACATTGCTCTCTCCTCTGAGAACAGCTTTGTGTTTACATTAGACTGTAATTGCGCCATCTACTGCATTAATTGCATGTGCATTACCATGCATGAGCCCCCATTTGGGACTCAGACCCCAATAAAAACCTTACTTTTTCTCACACCTGACACTATTCAAAACTAAAAAAAAAATGTTTTGGCTTTAGATCCACCAAGCTAAATACAGACAAAAGCCTTTATAACTTTAAGCTTAACATTAAATCTTTCTGGAGTGCATTAACCATCTTTGAATGGTTTTGCTTTTTGCCCGGAGCTGCTCTTTAAATATAGAGGCGCATAATTCCCATTAGCCAGAATTATCTGCTTACTATATTTATTTCACTCTCTAGTACAGTATTCCTTATTTAAACTTTAAATTGCAAGTTATATGACACATTGACTGCTTTAGGGGGCAGTGGTAGCCAACTGCATTAAACCATTACTGCATCTGTCATGCGTCACTCCATTTGAATGGCAGCCACTGAAGCAATGTCACTTTTAATTGCAATAGAAGACTTGTGATTTAACTGTATTGTCACTTTTAAATGAAATCACTACGGGTACACTTTGATGTCTAATCTGTCAGCCAGGCTCAGTGTCCAGTCTTGTAACTCTACAGCACACAACAAAGACAAAGTATCTAAAATAACACCTGCTATTATTGAAAATAAAGTATGTTCTAATGTGGGAGGCCTAACTATTTTTACAGCCAACAGTATAGGTTCTGTGGACAACACATTTAACAGGCATTTCCCTTACAAACAATGCATGCAATACATGCATTAGTGCATTGTGGTGCCATTCATTTGACTAGGGCAATGCAGATCAGATGCTCTGCTGTGGTGTGCGTTGCATTGGGAAAAATGCTGCATGTGGATTGGCAGCACATTTGTTAGTCCACGTGGGGGGAAAATTGCGTTTATGCAATGAACAAGAATACCGAAGTAAGACTTGGCCCTAAAGGGTCATAAGGGTCACAGCAGTTGTGCTCAGGGCCGGACTGGCCATAGGGCAAACCGGGCACTTGCCCGGTGGGCCGGGCCGGGCTGAACACAATCAATCTGATTGTGTTCAGGCCGGTCCGCTATGCCCGATGGCACGCTCTGTGCTCCGTTTATCAGGAGCACAGAGCAGCCACTCGGCCAGGCTGAACAGCAGAGATCCGCCCCGCCCCCATTTCCAGCTGACAGACGAGCGAGCCGCGTGTGTCCTGTTAAAGACACACACACAGAACGGAGTCCAGGAGGAGAAGATGAGAGGAGGAGGAGGAGAAGGTGAGAGGAGGAGGAGAAGGTGAGAGGAGGAGGAATCACTAGCAGAGTGAGAGGAGCTCCGGGGGGGGTGTCACATGAGCCAAACTTAGCACAGAGACAAAGGCAGGACTACCATCAAGGGTGATATGGTTGATACTCATATGAGGGGCCCTGGCCCCTTACATGCGTATTGGCCGTAAAAGGGGCAGCATCAGACCGGCGGCAGAGGAAGCTGGGCCCCTGGAGCGCTCTGCATCCAGCCAGCGCGTCACTAATCCCTGCATCCAGCCAGCGCGTCACTAATCGCTGCATCCAGTGCGTTACTAATCCCTGCGTCCAGCCAGCGCGTCACTAATCCCTGCATCCAGTGCGTTTGTAATCCCTGTGTCCAGCCAGCGCGTCACTAATCCCTAAGGCCTTGTTCACACCGAAAGCGTGTGTGTTCCAGAGCGGTAGCGCGATCGCTGAGAAATTTCCCCTCGCATTATGGGGCGGGAGGGGTGTGCGGCAGTGCGATCGGGCGCAAAAACTTTGCCAGCATTCCGTTCCACTGCAAATGCAAAAAATAGGGCATGCTCTATTTTTTGCGTTGAATTCAATGCACCACCACCATTGCCATTGAATTCAATGCACCACCATCATTGCCATTGAATTCAATGCACCACCACGCCCCCTCCCGCCTCAAAACGCGAGGGGAAGTTTCTCAGCGATCGCGGCTACCGCTCTGGAACGCACACGCTTTCGGTGTGAACAAGGCCTGCGTCCGGTGCGTTATTAATCCCTGCATCCAGCGAGTCAACTGTATCTCTCCTGTCAGAGGCGTAACTAGAACCTTCAGGGCCCCGTGCAAGAAACCATGAAGGGCCCCCCCAACCCCCCACCGCCATGGCACCGCATGGTTAACAGGAAGGCTGCCGAGGTCCCCAGCAAGCGCGGGACCTCGGGCAGCCGCTTGTACAAAATTTTTGTGGCAGTGTTCTGTCGAGAACGCCGACCCAGTATCTGCATTTGCATTACCGAGGAAACCGGCATTTATTTACAAAGTATTAGTTTGTAATGGGTAATTGTGACCGTTAATAATATTCCATACATGGCAGTGAATGATGGGTGGAATATTAACGCTCACAATTAACAATTTAAACTAAATAAATAAATAAATCCCGGTTTCCTCGATAATACCGGTTTGTGCGCAAGAGTAGAAGCTGAGGTTGACAAATTCTTGGGCTCTCTTCTTCCTTGCTGGGCCCCCCCAAGTGGCGGAACGCCAGGGCCCGGTCGCAATTGCGACCGCTGCGACCCTGGTAGTTCCGCCAGTGCCTCCTGTACCCACCAGCAACTGGTCACATGATTGGGCTGCTCTGTCTAAAATGCCCGGGCCTATTTTTTGTCCCAGTCCGGCCCTGGTTGTGCTGGAACTAAAATCTCACCATCAGAGTCCCTGTGAGATAAAGGAAATTGTCTTGTATATTTTGCTCTCAAATGACCTCACGCTGATTTTACTGCCTCAAATATCATTTTAGTGGGGAATGACCCTATAAATAAATGCTCCATCTTCTAGGCAGCCAGTGCTGCAAGATAGCACTGTACCAGCAACATGTGTAATATCCCTATATTGTATCTGCTGTCAGATTTGTGCTGCACTGATGATCAATGAATGGAGCTGTCATTCTGAAGCATGTACGCTGGGATTTTTTCTCTCCATTTTTTACCATTACTGTGCTCACCTGTTACTGCTGCAAAGCTCCAAAGGACATGCTTGTTTGAACGAAAAACATAGGCACAAGGAATTAGGAGCATGTCAGTGCAGACAAATCTAGCTCATACAAGGGTACAAAATCACAGATCATTCAAATTCCAGCACCATGGATAAATCTGGTAAATTTCATCAGAATGTAAATGTATTTGTGATTTTTCTCCTGACTATAGATCTCCTTAAATGAACACAGCTGTGTACACACAAAGCAATCACCTGGTTTTAATCTGTTGCTCTGGATGCAATTTCTAGTTTCATTGCTACTTCTTGAGCTTTCAGACTGGTCTTTGGATTGTTGCAGGAAGCCACTGGTGAAAAAAACTTACAAGGTTAGTAATTAGCAGTCAGATATGTACAGTTATGCTAATCAAAGCTGGCTTTATAATTAACCTGGTACCATAGCTCCTCAGAGGAAGGTTTGGTCAGTACAACAGTTAGAACCTAGAGACTTCTGCCTCCAATTATAGGCTTTTCTACCTTCCACTGATGCATCCCATCAGCAAGTCCAGTGGGAATGACGTGTAAGAACTGGAGGAAAAATGTACTAGTGCTGCTTAGATTAATACACAGAGAGACTTAGACTAATCGGGGTGAATGTATAACAACTAGAACAGGGAGAATCGGGAGCAGTTGCCCATAGTAACCAACCTCCTTCTCTCTTAAGTTTGTTCAGTTAAGCTTGAAAATTAAAAGGAGGAGCTGACTGGTTACTTTGGGCAACTGCTCCCGATTCTGTCTGAGAATAACCCCCCCATTGTGTTTTCTGTTAATGATGCAGCCATTGGAAAAAAACAGTTATTTGGTATTCTGGCCAAGGCTGTTTGAAGAGAACAGTGTTTGCAACATTGCTTGAGATACCCGTGACATGTGTATATATGTATCATGAAGTTGTAGTGGGCATAGTGCTGACCTGTATTAGATTTACATAATACATAGACCAGGAGAAGCTCCCTTTATGCAGGCAGGAATGCCTTTGGTTGGCACAGTGGTTTTAGGGGAGTTAATCAAAAATTAAGCAAATAAAATCTGAAGCAGTTGCCCATGGCAACTAATCAGCTTCTCTCTTTAGTTAGTTCAGTTAAGATTCAAACATGAGAGAGAGGCGCTGATTGGTTGCCATGCACAGCTGCTCCAGATTTTGCCTGCTCCTGTTTTGATAAATTCCCCTCTCTGTACTTCTGGGCTGCTCTGATGTAAGCACTGCAGGTCTCGGACCTGAGCGCTATGGTCATGCCTATGCCTCCCTCTCCTCTTGGCTATTGGCAGAGACATGACTGTAGTGCTGGACTCTATGAATCCGGCAGTAAACAGATTTGCCAGATGGAGAGTAAAGCTAGCGCAACAGGTGGCTACTTTTGTGGTAGTGGAATGTATAACTGTTTGTTGCACCCAGAGTTGGGATTTAAAGTGTATATATAACTTTTCTTTTAGTTTTGAATAGAGTAGGGAAGGGTTAAAACCCCTGCCAGTTTATTTTTTGATTTTTTGTGTACCATTCGGAAAAGCCCCCTAACTTCCTGTCCCAGAGACGCAGCAGGAAGTTAGAGGAAATCACGGTAAGTGAAGGGAAATCCCCTCTTAGACCCCAGAACAGGTGTCTCCATTGGAAGATTCCCCTTACTGTTTGTTCGGGGGGGGCAACTGTAACAGTTTTGATTTCTCCTCACATTCGCCTTGGCGACAATCGTCACCAGAACATGGGGGTGGTGAATCTTTGCAATGGGGACACAGATGCCAATAACATTTTTTTAGTGGGTATAACCCTTTTCCACACCATCCAAATCGAAACATAATGCCTAGAGATGCTTTAAAATTGGTCATCTGTTATAAATATTAATTTATTATAATACTGTATTACATTATACACTTTTATTGCATAAATCCCAGCTGTGGAACTTAGATGACATTTATGGTAGAGTGTACACATGGGGTTATAATGCCTGCAGAATCATTTTTATTTTTTATTTTCTTGTGAGAACCTTTTTATATGCTCTTATTATATAGCTTCATTATATTTTTGTATTTCTTAGAGTACAAAAAGGAAATGCAGAATTATTTTTTTATCTTAAGAAAGCTTAGCTATAATTTCCAATTAGCTTAGCTATAATTTCTATTTTTCAGAATGTATAAATTGAAACTAGCAATTATGTTTCCAGAATTGTCTGTCTGGTAACATTTGTGATCCAACTCGGAACTATAATTGTGATCTGGTACTGTCACTTACCCAGATGGACTTCTTTGGTGGCCTCGGGAGTCCATGTAAAACTTGGAAGTAGTTCTCTCTGGAACCTGAAATAGAAGACACTGCCAATAATCTTGGTGTATCCAAATTACTATCTTATTTTTTTTAAGTGGTCAGCTTAAGTGAATGGAAAGACAATAAAATTAGCTTTTTCCTCTTTCAAGAAATCTAGATCTGTGCAGGGTTAATAGCCCTATTCTGATGCAATCTTAATCCTTCCCACTAGTGGGAAGCAAAGGGACTAAAAAAGGATCAGGCAAAATGGCGAGTGGCAGTTTAGGAATGAAAAATAAGGCAGAACTCAAATCATATTTCTTTAAAACAGAAATAAGATAAAAATGAACAGCTCAATAAAGAAAGAATAACAAAAGCAGCTTTTGCTGCAATATTCATCTGCAATCCAGAGATATCCCATACGGTAATTTTTACTCTCACTAGATGTTCTTATTCTGATGGCCAGCATCCTTCAACCCACTTTCTGTGAGCTTAGATGGTCCAGGACCTGCCCCAGCCTATATTGGACAGTGAAAGGAGAAACCGCACAGTGATGAGCTGATCCCTCACTGTACTCTTTGCTTTCTCCTCCTATGAACTGATTGGCTTCTTGTACTGCTTCTTTCTCTCACACTCCAGCCCTGCTGTACAGGGATTGCAAGGAGCTGATACCAGTAGGGGCATCCTAAGCCTGGGTGTCACCCTGCCGTGACGTCACCACGCGCGTGCATGATGATGATGTCATCGCGCATGCGCGGCCATCTTATTGACGCCTGCTGGTAACCATCTTGGTGGTGGACACTGGCAGAGAGTGGAAGTATGCCACCGGGTCCCCTCCTCTTTCCTGACACTGTCGGGCTCTCGGTCAATGACCGAGTGCCCGACTTTTCAGAGGGGGTGACACCAAAATGACTGTCAGTCATTTTTGGTGTCACCCCTCCAATGGTGTCACCCGGGTGTGGGCAGCAGCCACCTTGTGACGCCACTGGATACCAGGTCTACACTGCTTGCATTTAAAAATACATTTAATGGTGCATTGGTGATTTCAGAGCTGAATTAATTTGCGTCTTTCATACTTGTCTAGAGTTTATCTTTAGGGCCCATCCACACCCATGAATTTGTTAACTTATGTTGCCTGTTTATTTTCAATGTGTCTACAGACCAAAAACTGACCTTGGTGCACCACAAGGCAACCAATGTGTTCTTTATTACATGCTTTGTGGTGCCATGGAAGGGTATGGGCGTTTTCTACTTAATTGATGCGTTTAAAGGTGTAATTGGAAATGATTAGCAAGGCACATACACAGCACACTGTGGTCCAACATTTCAATGCATATGCATGTGAACTACCTAAAGGTGCCCATACACTCTAAAACCCTCGCAAGACTTTTATCTTGCGAGGGTTGTAAAGTACTTCATGGACAGGCAGATCGTACTTGCGATCATCGGAAGCCCGCCCCCCTGAGGGGCAGGCTTCCGATGACTGCAATGCTGAACGGGCAGTGTGCGCTTGCGCACACCGGCCCGTTCGGCAGTGATCTCTCGATCATGTTAAAAACCAGCCGAAAATCGTACGATTCTCGGCTGGTTTTCCAACGTGCTCGATATACAAAAGTCGTGCGACCGTACATTAGAAACGGTCGCACGCCTTCCATACACTGCACGATTCTCGTACCATCGCGGGATTTCCCGCGTTTCCCGTACGAGAATCGTGCAGTGTATGGGCACCTTTAAGGTTGTCATGTGTCAACAAAATTACCCATAATTACATGGGTACTGCTTTCAACACAGCATAATCTTACCCCAAATATATTCATATTTGAAGGAATTATTCCCATTATGAGCTGTACACATTTCAAGCACTAAAAATGTAGACCCACCAAAATGGAGAAAAGCAACCGTTTTAAATTTGCAATATTTTCCAGAAAATGACCTTTTAAAATTCAATTGCAATCACAGAAATAGATCTGCCATCAGATATTTTACTAACTATTTAATATTGCCTCCACTTTCTTGTTACAACAGTTGTACAGAATGTTTAAATATGAGTCCTTTAGAGATCAATAGGCATCAGATCTAGACCCAGTCCAGTAACAGAACTGGTCAAACGTGTCCCCTCTCTTTCGTTGCAATACAAGTCTGTGTGTGGAGGGGCGTGGCTGTTACTCTGCTCTTTCAGCACAAAACACAGGAGTTTTTGGGCCTGATCATACCAGGTACATGTGTTAATTGCACGGTTCTTGCAATTAATGCATGGTACTGCATAATGCACCTACCATGCGTTAACAGTGCAGGAGTTTCGTTGCATTGCCATTCATTTGAATGGCACCCCAAATGCACCGCCTGCAAAGTGATAAAGGGGTACCACAATTGCAATGCGGTGTGGTTAAAAAAATTGTGTATGTAAATGAATAGCAACTAACCTCCCGCACAGTAACGCATGTAGGTGTGTTGCGTGGTAATGTGTGATTAATGCACGCATATTGTGAACAAACCCTTAGAGCTGAAAGCTTCATAAAATGTATTGTAAGGCATTTCCATGCACCAGTGACATGATCACTGTGCTGTGCTGCCTGAGAAGAGCCATAGGAGAGGTCCAACCGGTCAAGCTACTAGAGACTGTCTGCTACTAGAAACTGCAGGAGGGGGAAGATACAAGACCATTAACCCTGTACAAAGAGAGAGAGCAGCAGTGACTGGTCTTAATACAGGAATAATTTGCACAGATGCAAATGTTTCCCAAGGAATTATTGCACAGGTGAAGAAGAAATACACAAAGCATCACAATTCAAGTAGGAACACATTCTAGAGTTCAGCTTTACGTATTGTTGAAGCTACTGCTGGATGAAAACATCCCAGAGGTAATTTTTAGTACAGAATATGCATAGATTGAATTCTACTGCTAATGGTTCAAGTCATGATGCCAGTGATCAAAAAACATCACACATCTCTTCCAGTATGTTGGAACACCTATTTATGATCTATTAAAACAAAGTGTTCCAAAATATAGCTATTAAAATAACTTCTAATGTGTTTTTTGGTTGGGTTTAGGTAAAACAATTCTCAGTAGGTCTATGATAGCTAGACTTTGCAATTACCCTCCAGGAGATGATTGCTCTATGCATCCTTGTAGAAAATTCACAAGAGGGTCAATGAGAGTGAACATGAATGCAAGCTTGTGGCAGGCTTGTGTCACACTCTCTATTCGATTCTCCAAGGAATACAAGAAAAATCCACTTCTGACAGGCAGAAGGAACTCCTGTTCTTTTCCATCCATGATAACTGGAGCTCTGATAAGAAGTGGCAGAAGATCTAAACACTTAGGCCATGAGGGGCAGTAACGACCCAGCAGAGGGTCGTTGCTGTGCTAAATGAGATCCACCATAAAAGGGAACCATTCGTGAGACACATCTGAAAATACTGGCTGCCTGTCATGCTCATCTTCTTCAATATTTGAATCATTGACTCAGAAGTATGCAGGTAATTACTGTTTTCTCACATTCCTGATCTGCATAATTGTTTTAGGTTAGTAACTCAAACCATTTGAGACGGAGGGTCAGCTTAACATCCAGATAACTAGCATTTTCAGAAAAAGCTCAGCAATGGGAGCCCCGTATTTTCTCACATTTTGGGCATGTTTGTTTTTAGCTCCAACTCTTTTTAATTTTGAAAGAAACGGCAAGCATTTTAAATGCTTTTTTTTTGTCCTCCTGGATGACACCTTCTCTATCTGTTCTAAAGCATGTCACCTGGGCAGGAATTCAGGGACAATTTCCCTCATGGAGACAAAGACCGATAAAGGGCCCATTCACAATACTGCTCTGAGGTGCTGGTAATGTGTTTTGCGCATGCATTACCACAGTGCTTGAAGCAGTGCTTTACAAAGCCATGAGTTTTGAATAAACCACCTGAACTGACCACCGTCGTATCTAGGACGTACAAAAACTGGCTGGAGTTAGACTTTAAATGCATGGAAAAGTTAAACAACAACCTAATACTCCCTCTTCTAGCAGGAAATTGCAAGCTGGCAAGAGAAATGAGTATGCCCTATTACAGAATTATAAACATCAGATTTATGATCTCTGGCTTAAATAGAGTTAACATCACATTTGATTATAGTTAATTTATCTTTCTTCAGAGCCATGACGAGCTATCCCTCATATCTTCGGAATTAGGATATGCAGATCGTGTTTACGAAGCAGCCTCTTCCTCTACTAGTCGCTGCTCTAGTTTATTTGCAGAGTTCTAAAGTTCTAATACATTTGAAAACATCATTTGCAATGCTTGGCTGCATTTTAGAGATACTTAGACACTGCCACAAAGATTTATTCCCGTGCTTAGTCAGCCTAAGAAAATAGACCAACTTTTGCAAACGGAATTTTGGCAACCAAATGCATAGCGTTTTCTGAAAGTATAGGGCAGTGGTGGTGAACCTTGGCACTCCAGCTGTTTTGGAACTACAAGTCCGATGAGGCAATGCAAGGCTCTGACAGCCACAGACATAACTCCCAGAGGCAGATGCATGTTGGGATTTGTAGTTTTGGCACAGCTGGAGTGCCAAGGTTTGCCACCACTGGTATAGGGCGTCATCAAAATGTTCTGCATATGCACTTACACAATTCTGCTAGGTCATCCTTTTTTTTAAAAAAAAAGGGGTTTATTACAGAAGACTTTGTATCAAGTTTGAAAATGGCACTGTTTGTTTTGGAGCCAATGCCTAATATGCTCTTAAAAAAGGTAGAGAAGTTAATTTTTTTCCATTTCCCAGTTATCAAGAACTTAGCTTATTTTTGAAAGGTGATGCGGAGCTGCACAAATTTACAGGGATCGATAGCTCATAGAGAATGTAACACACAACTGAGCAAATTACAGTAGTTAATTATGTCTTATTGGACAGGTGGGTCTAAAGCAGCCTATCTTAACCAGGGTGCGATGGTACCTGGGGGTGCCTTCTGCCTTCCTCAGGGGTGCACTACAAAATTTGGTGCAGGCAGGCTCCTAATGTAAAGGGGCAACTCTGATATGAAAGGGGGCTTCTCATGTGAAGGGGGCTGCCTAAAATTAGAGTGGGGACTCTGATGGGGAAGGAAGGTGATCCTAATGTAAAATGAGGGACTGTGTTTTGAAGGGAAATCCCAAACGTTTGTTTGCATGTGGACCCCCCTTAAAATCCAAACTAGACCTTTTTATCTAGTACCTCAAGATTTTGCATACTTTTAAGGGGTGCCATGACTGAAAAAAAGGTTGAGAAACATTGCTCTAAAGTTTCAATCCTACAAAGTTAGCAATAAGGCAGGCTGACACTGCGGTATTATCTCCAGCTAACACATAGTGCTCTGGGAATATAAACAGTAAATAGAGCAAATTTATAAAAAAATTTTTTTTTTTTACAAATACATGACCTTAAAAAAAAATCACACATTCACCCAAATTAGTTAGGCCCCTTTCACATAGGCATTCTGATCAGGTCCGCCTGTCAGTTTTTCAGTTAGATCTGATCGGAAACACAATGTTAGTTTATTGGCAGCCGGTTCTAAATGGACACCTACTAATTTCTGATAGTCAGTTGTGCATAGGTAATATAAATAACACAATATGTCAGCATTTTTAAAAGTGGATAAATTGATACTATTTAATAAAGAAAACCTGCTCTAAATGTGACAAAAACACCATACAGAATGAGAATAGTGATGCAAAGTGCAAACAATAGTAAACCATGACAATGATAAAATTATGTTAAGCTTAGCCAGGTACAGTTGAGATAGCCTACACATCAACCTTACAGATCTAAATGGACGTGAGTCCGTTCACTTCCAATGAGAGCCAGCGCTAACCTACAATCAAGTCAAGCTGCTGCTTGAGGGCCCCGGGGGAGGGGGAGGACGAAAGATGTGGACTGGCAGAGGGGCTTCTTTAAGACGGCGGTGATCACACCTCTCTGTGCTCCCTCTCTCTCCTCCCTGCCCCTGCAGCTTCAGCTCCACGAAACGGGCACTCAGAGAGGTGGCTCTGATCACACCTGTCAGCGTTCCCTCTCTCTCCTCCCGGCCGCTCTGAAGCTGCAGCGGCCGGGAGGAGAGAGAGGGAGTGCAGTGAGGTGTGATCAGAGCCATCTTAAAGAGGCCCCGGAGCCGACTGGATGTGTAGGAAACCTTGCTGCTTCCCTCCACCATCACCAGCAGAAGAAGAAGTCAAAGTCCCTGTACTTTCTTTGTGACCTCTGCACTGCGTTACATGCTGACCTCTGCACTGTGTACTGACCTCTGTACTGTGTGTCACACCCTGACCTCTGTACTGTGGGTCACACCTCTGCGCGTCACACCTCCGCACTGTGCGTCACACCGCTGACCTCTGCACTCTGCGTTATTGCTGACCTCTATACTCTGCGTTACATTACTGACCCCAGCACTCTGCGTTACATTACTGACACCTGCACTCTGTGTTACATTACTGACACCTGCACTCTGCGTTACTACTGGCGTCTGCATCTCGGCAATTTAATTTTTACATTGATTTGGCTGCATTAGGTCCTGTGTAGTAGCTTTCTGAAGAAACACGCAACACTTGCTTTCAGGGCTTCTGACGCCTACACATCTCCTCCTTCTGAGACCTTCCACACCCCTCCTGAGACCCTCTGCATTGTTGTATAATGTATTGCCGGGATTTGTAGTCCTCCTATAGATGATGGTACTCTGCATTAGAGTATAAGCTTCTCACTCTGTGTGACTATGGAGGGACATAAGCTACTTCAGTGCAGAGACCGCCAGGGGGGTTAGGGGGCCAGTGAAATCTAGTCCCAGCACCCCCCACCCCCTTTTTGGAGTGAGAAGGGGAAGGGGCAGAAAAAATATTTCACCAGGGCCCTTTTTTCCTTTAGTCTGGCACTGTGTGGGAGCAGAGGGGAAGTGGGGAACAGTGGTAGCAGAGGGGAGATGTGGGAGTAGAGGGGATGTGGGGGACAGTGTGACTAGAGGGAAGATGCGGGACCAGGGTGATGTGAAGGACGATGTGGGAGCAGAGGGAGGGGATGTGGGGAATAATGGGACCAGAGGGAATGTGAGAGACAATGTGACCAGAGGGAATATGTGGGAGCAGAGGGGATGTGGGGGATAGTGGTAGCAGAGGGGAGATGTGAGAGACGGTGGGACCAGAGGGGAGATGTGGGAGTAGAGAAGATGTGAGGGACTGTGGGAGCAGGGGGGATGTGGGGGATAATGGGACCAGAGGGGAGATGGGGGAGTAGAGGGGATGTGAGGGACAGTGGGACCAGAGGGGAGATGTGGGAATAGAGGGGATGTGGGGGAGAGTGGTAGCAGAAGGGAGATACGGGAGCAGAGGGGATGTGCTGGAGACTGGGAACTCAACTGCCCTGCTGAAACCCTCCACATCTGCCCCTGCTGAAACCCTTCACATCATTGTTGTGTAATAAATTTGTGTAATAAATTGCTGGGAATTGTAGACCTCTATAGCTGATGTACTAGGCCTAGAAAAAATGGTATCGGTGGATCTCTACTCCAGTCTATGCTTGTACCGAGGTACAGACACGTATTAATATGGATGGGAGGCAGAGTTAATTGACTACAAGGGCGGTGTATAGGCAGCCGTTTTAGGGCACACGTCGCCTGTGTATGCAAAAATCCTTGCACCGGCCCTGCTTCCAATTACCTCAGACTCTGGCCAGGTCTAGAAAAACAAACAGATCAGATTAACATTTCCGGAGACCTGATCATGGTGGAATGGGGGTAATCTGATGCAAACAGACACATGTCCATTTAAATCTGATTTTCCCATAGATCAACATGGGTCCAGTAATTTCAGTTTTTTTTCCTCCATTGCAAGATGGAGGAAAATAATGGAAGGACATGGCTGTCACAATGACATGTGTTCCAATCAGCAATGAATCCATGCAGGAATCCCCTGCTCAATGGAATAGAAGGCACCTGTGTGAAAGGGGCTTTATGGCTTTCATTCTAATGCTGGGCACACACCTTACAACCATCGCAAGACTTTTGTCTTGCGATGGTTGTAAGGTAATTAAAAAAACGTACAATCTGCCTATCATCGGCCGATGACCGCAATGCTAAACGTGCAGTGTGCGCTTGCGCACACCGGCCCGTGCGGCTTTTATCTTGCGAACATGCCACAAACCAGCCGAAAATCGGCTGGCTTTCGAACATGTTCCTAAGATGAAAGTCGTGTGACTTTACAGTAGCAGAGGTCGCATGCCTTCCACACTCCATGCGATAATCGTATGATCGCGGTATTTCCCGCGATTATAGTACGATTATCGCAAGGTGTGTGGACACCTTTAAGGTGCTGAGACTGCTGTGTAATAAGCTACTGACCTTGAACAAAGGTGTGCTGGGCAGATATCCGACCTATGCTAGGTGTTTGATACTTTGTTTTTACAGCTTCAGTAGGTTCTGCTGCTTTGTAACTTTTACATAAATATGGAACGATCAAAAGGCTAAGGGTCTATTGACACTATTGTATTGCGTTAACATGCGTGTTACTGCAACACGTTACTTGCATTGATGCAATGTTTTGCTATTTATTCTGCACCCCAACACACCTTACCAATGAATGCATGTCACAGCACAATATGTGGCAACATGCTAAGGGATAAATTTGGTACATGCACCTTTTTGGTGCATTCTAGTGCATTACACAGCCCTTTCAAAATGAATTGGCTTTCTTAACGCAATACATGTTGATGCACCATGTAATGCCTGTAAATGTGCGTGCTTTAATGGACCACAATAATGTGAATGGGCCCTAAAGCCTAAGAGGAAACCTGTAGTGAGAATGAGGCTACCATTGCTGGTCTCTTGAAAATGCTAGCTGCTGGGTCATGCTACAGCAATATCTGGAGCAAGTATTGAGATCAGCAGTTCTGAAGTTAATTACTTTTTAATTTGCATGAATGTTCTGTGTCCATTAGATATGGAAGCCAGAGGCAGCCAGGCAACAGGTAGTCAGCAAGGGCAGCTTCTGTGTTTATCTCACTACGGAGTTGCTTGGATGTAGATTCATTCCCTCAGGGAAGTGCTACATATATCACTGAAACTGTCGCTTTTCATCTGCGTTCTAGGTTCCCATTTAGTTCACATACAGTCGCAATGCATTTGTACTGTCTTATCTGCAAACAAACACAATGAAGGTGGACATGTGTGAATGCATGTTTTACATTTACATACACAAAGGCAGCTAGTTCTAATGTAGACATAGAAGTGCTTTCGAGCTTGGGTATTGAACTCCACTGGCAAGTGTTTGTATGGAATCATTACATATCTTCACGATATTTTACTAAACAAATGAAACCTTGTATAAGCCCCTACACTATTCAGTTGACAGAACTGCAGCACACGACCTGTGACTGGAATAACAACTTGAAAAACAAATTCCAATAAATGCAATTCTCTACCTTAGGTGGCTGGTCTTCGCCTTGCAGGGCACCCCAGAACACATCATCTTTTCCTGGGGACATAGGACTTATGATCATGTCAGACAGGGAGCTGCTGTAGTGATTGTCTCTACTGGAGCGGAGATTTTCATTCTTTGATTAAGAGAGAAATACAAATACAAACACATGGATGAAATAATAACCCAGGATCACAGGAGACGGCTCTAAACAAACAGACCATTCCCACCTCCTCTCCAGAGAGGTTATGTGTTATTCATATTAATAACCCTTCCTTACCTGGGAAGTACATACAAATACTATCTTGAAAGTACTTACCGTACATAAACATTAACAGAGGGCAGTGGTTTAGGAATGAAAGGGTGTTTACCAAAAAAGCATATGAGGCCTTTTTGTCATAACACTACTGCATTAGAGATTGTATTATTTATTTTATGTATGAGCAGCAGAATATTATACAACAATGTACACTGAGCTGGAAAACAATATACATAAGCAATCAGTGCTGCCCATTTTGGTGAAGGAACAATGTTATCCTGTTATTGAGCCACCACAGACTCATATTTATCTCTGTAACCCATAACCCTCATGTTAACCCAGCTTAAGATCAACTCTCACACTGACCTTACTTGTAACCCCAACCCTCACACTAACCCTACCTGTAACAGCAACCCCCCGAGCCCCACCCCGTTTGAACACTCCTGAATCAGTCCAAGGACCAACCCTTCCAGTGTTGAAAGGTACCAATGCTGTGAGTCAAGCCCCAAAATCTGCTTTGAGGTCTCCATGCAGCCAGAGCAACATTGGCCACAAAAAAAGAAAATTAAAGCTGAACTCCATGCAAACATATAATTAAAATACATTTGTATGAACAGTCTTGCCTATACAATGTAAAATGGCCTGAATGATTTATAATTTAAGTCAATCAAGTAACAATATCTCTATTTCAGTTAAGCAATTGAGTTTAGTCCTTGACCTGTCTAAATCTGCTAATTATATAATGAAACTACAAGTGAATTCTAAGGGCCAATTCTCACCTTTGCAGTGTTGTGCACTACAGTACAAACAAATGTGCATTTTTTTGGTTATCGTAATGCATTGGAAACACATTTGTCTTAATGCGCTGTCTAAATACATTTAGATACAGTTTGCAAATATTACATCTAGGGCCCTCCTTACCATCTTGTCTTGACTTGTATAGCGCTATATAAATTCTGTATAACTATAATCATAAAGATGTCATCACAGACCCAGGCCAGCATAAATATGTCTGCACACCAGGACAGAGAACATGAAGGCAACGGGGATCTTTTTGATGGTACATTTTTTTTTTATTCTATCTTTTCCTGTTCTCAGTGCTGACATCCTGCTCCCTACACCGTAGTGCACACTGCAGACGGGTTTAGAGAATGGCGATGAAAGCACTCAAACTGCAGGGAAAGAATACACAGGGGAAAGAGTTTATATTTGTCCCTGTATAGATTAAAAATGTACTGGTCATGACGAATTTGTGATAAAATTATGAATGATAGAATGTGTCTGGTAATAGGAAAAATTATCTGACAAGTGTTTTTTTTTGCCATTTTATCTTTTAACCACTCAGCAAATGGGCAAAAATCTGTTTGCTTTTGATTACATAAGGAGCTCTTTGCTATTATTTTGTAAGACAAGTCTTGACCAATTATGATTTTCATAGGACTCCTTGAGAGATTGGGTTTCCTGTGTTTTTATCCTCCGTTTACAGAAATATTTCTAGGTGTAAATATATAAACAGACTGAGGAAGATATGAGATGCATTAATATATATCAACAAACTCCAAAGTGTGTTCTAAAATATGCAGTAGGCTTACTACTTAACAGCCGGTTAGTTGTGGAGTAAGGATAGCAGTAGTAGCAGAGATTCTTGCTGTGAAAATGATCAGCCACTGTTTATCTTTAATGTATGTCAAATCAAATCTGTACATCTAGTTTATACATATTTTGGTGCTGAAATACAGAACATTAGCTTAGTTAGCAATAGCTTAGTAAATAAGGTGTAGTGTAGCTGTGTTGACACTGAATCCCCACTCCTGTACAAATTAATTTTGCTTGCATTTATTTGGATGATTTAACCTTCATTCACCAACCTAAATGGCTGGTGAACATTACAAAGTGAACATGTGTTATTCCTTTAGTAAATCAACCACAATCCCTGGAATTCATAAAGAGTGTCATAAACGCTTTTTAAATTTGCATAGTGCCTCCACACACAAATGCCAGTGCCTGAGACAGATTAATGCACCTGGGGAAAACCGATACATGAATTTGTCACATGAAGGCACCATGGGGGCCTGATGCTGAGGCCAGAGTTTCCCGAAAGGATACACTGTTCTCAGTGCAGCTTATCACTAAATATGATAAAATTACAGGCTCAGCATTACGGAGCTCCCTGCTTTGCTTCTGCATCAAACAGGCGCAACAGTCAACAAACTAAGCTGTTGAGTAGGCAGAGCCTGATGTTGAAACACTAGCTCCCCACCGCGTATGCCTGCCCCTATTCGGCAGTGAGCGGGCCTGATGAGTGAAGCTGGAATACTAGTTCCCCATTAGGTCCATCTTCCTAGTCTAGCTGCCATGGAATCTACCTACTGCCATTCACTGTCCATCACAAGGGAGGTGAAGCTAATGAGGAACTAGTCTCTCAGCATCACCCATCATGCTTCGCCCACTGTCAATATTCAGCTCTGGGTCATTGGCTGCTATGAGGAGGTTGAATACACAGCATCACTGGTTGCTAGGATGCTGTCAGCTACACAGCCGACAACCTCCTAGTGACAAGTGACTGTGTAGCTGAAAGCATCCTTTCAACCAGTGACGGGTAGGAGGTGGTGCATGCAAAGATGTATACACATCTGTGTGGCCCCACACTCTCTGAGCGCTCTGGGCTCTCTACACACCAATAGAGTTGGTCCTAATTACTTCATGTTTCAATAGGTACGAACTGGAGGTAAAACTTTTAGAAATTGTTGTAGCCATAGCAACAATGCTACTGTCAAATTAGACACAGGATTTTTTAAAGGAACTTTGGCAATGTAGGGTCTTATGTTGATGGAGAAATGCAGTGTGATTCTCACACAAGTTCCAGATGCCTCTGAGATCATTTAGAGAAGGTTGCAGGCGTGGTTAAGCTGCAGTTGATCTCCAGGCCAGCCTCAGCTGCTTTTACATTCTAATAGACTTCTATTTGTGTGTGTGAAAATATAAAGTTGTGTGTATAAAAGTTTTCTAGACTCCTGAACTAATAGTAAATATTTCAATTTTTTATATGTTCTTATAATTTTCAAGAAATAAAGCATTCTTTGGTGACACCAAAGCAGCAGTGCCAAATATACAGCATTATTTAAATATCTACTGTGTAGTTTAAAATTTGAGCATGTGACATAGATTTCCACTATATTCTCTAGTATGCGGAGTACAGAATGTGACCTTACCTCCAGTATGGCTCTTGGTAAAGCTGGTGTACATGGGCTAGAACTGCTTCCAGATCCAAGTCTGCCATGTGCTTGTTGTATGAAACCGGTCCATTTCACATGGCTTGGGTCAGCGAGTATTGTTTTTTTTTCTGGTATCTAAAAAGTAGTCCACCATTAGTCATATTAACCTAACAAATCTTAAAAATCTAATCCAAGAAGGATTATGTCCCCATTGGAAACATTCTCACTTCTTGTCAATACAGGAAGTGATCAGAAATCTCTCCAAAGGGGATACAGACCAAATAAAACCACATGTTCCAAATGTTTGGAATGTCAATGGTTTTTATTGGAACAATAACACTCCCCATTTCTTATATGGGCATAATGGCAGGAAGATATTGAAAGCTACCCAATGAAGTCACAGGCAAAAAATATTTTACTTTACTCAGAGCTAAAAAGGAAAAGTTTAGGTCGATTAGGCTGGCCATACATCTGTTAATTTTTGTTGAACCCGTGGGCTGAACAGAAGAAATTGATGTGATTCCTCCAACACAAACAGCGTGTCAATCCATTAATTGCCCCTGTTTGCATTGTTGTATTGGGCAGCGTGGGGAGCTCATTGGCTGCTGGTTCTGATCGTACAAAGATTTTCAAGCCAGCTTCTTCGATCAGCTGATTGAGGAATGCTGGCTAAAAGGGAGCCGACAGATCCATACACTAGCTGAATTTTGTTTGGTACATTAAAAACTGGACGAAAGTTGGCCAGTGTATGGGCACCTTTTACAGTGGTGTAGTGAGATGCTGCATAACTGGTCATGTCACACTTAATTTCCCCACAAGCTCTTGTGCAGCTACGGTAACGTTTTGACAACACAACAATTTCACAATACATAAACATTTTCCTTACTAAACCACCTCCTATCTTCTCAACATCTTATTGTTCAGATATAATTGCTCTCTGATCCCATTAAAATGGATGAGCTGTTATGGGCCATTCCCACCCAATGCACTTTGATGCATTTTAAACATCAAAAACACATCTACACAAAATATCACAGTTGTCAATAGTGTAACTCACAGCAATGTGCTGTGTTTTGAAAAAAACAGAGCAGGCTGCATTTTTCACACCACAACATGTGTAAATGCATCTCTTAATAATAGGAGTTATGGTGCCCCAAAAAATGTAAACTGAAGTGCGTTTATGCGTTTTTGGTGTGGCTTTGGTTGGAACAGGCCTTTAAAGAAATGCTGGACAACACCTGTCTATACAGGTGAAACTCGAATAATTAGAATATCGTGCAAAAGTTAATTTATTTCACTAATGCAACTTAAAAGGTGAAACTGATATATGAGATAGACTCATTACATGCAAAGCAAGATAATTCAAGCCGTGATTTGTCATAATTGTGATGATTATGGCTTACAGCTCATGAAAACCCCAAAACCACAATATCAGAAAATGAGAATATTACATGCAATCCCTAAAACAAGGATTGTACATAGAACAATATCAGACCTCTGAAAAGTATTAGCATGCTAATATTCTAATTTTCTGAGATTGTGGATTTGGGGTTTTCATGAGCTGTAAGCCATAATCATCACAATTATGACAAATCACGGCTTGAACTATCTTGCTTTGCATGTAATGAGTCTATCTCATATATTAGTTTCACCTTTTAAGTTGCATTAGTGAAATAAATGAACTTTTGCACGATATTCTAATTATTCGAGTTTCACCTGTAGGTGCTGTTTGCTGTTATCAATAGCGTTTAAAGATGGGATGCACAGTACAGATTCTGGTATACAGAATTTTTATATCCAACATCTTGCATTAAACCTTTGCTCTTGTCAGCAAGATCATTTCGTTCAAAGTAAGGTAAAATTATTATTTTTGATATCTGACTATTTTTATAAATAAACCTCAGAACTTAAAACTTTTGATCAACCTGCAAACCATCCCCAGTTATAGAAAGGAGGTGGAAAAAATGTCACATGTAGCACAGATGGGGAAGGCAAATAAGATTTGGTGCTAAAGATTTGTCAAAATAGTGATCCTTAGAGTAGTATAATTTTGTTTTTCAATAAAACCAGGAACTTACATCATTAATGGGCTTCACATTTGGATGATCAGCAGTATGATTTGTTGGTTCTACATGTTTTCCCATATGATCATGCTGGAGAAATAACAGCTGTGTCTGATCTTTGGGCAGTGTACGGTGAAATTTTCTTTGGCTTTGCAAATCTGCCTTCTGAAGAAACAAAATAAACATATTTTTCATGCCAATGCTACTTCAACGACTTATAATAATCATAGTAAAAATAACAATCCTTTACGATTGTGTAGGACTTTGCTGAAGCGTTTTCCAGTTTTAAATCGAGTAGGTAAGCGTTATTACTGCTGTATGGGTCTCTGTTGGGAAAATTCACCCTATTTGTTCTGGTAACAATTTCCCTGGGACAAAAATTTTTGGGAAATATAGAGTTTTACAGCTGCCACTGAAGCAGGAGGGTAATGGTGATCTTCCACTGGGGACACTTGTTCTAGTGACAGCTGTCATAGCTTATACTTTGGAAAGATTTCTTGTCACTTCATATTGTCTCCATCAAAGGAAGTGAAGGGACATCTCTGCAATGGCACACAAATGTCAATTTAAACTGACATAGGTTCTTACTTTTACTAATTCCATCCCATACTAAAAATATGTTTTGTCAACAAATTTAATTTAATATTCTGATCATTTGATTGGTGCTGCTCATGTTTGAGGCGCATTATCACTGACTGCTTTATATAATGGTCTTTAGCTAAACTGTATTTTAGCATTCAAAATTGAGAATTCAGATGGAGATCTTCCACGTGCCAACTAACACAGCTGGAAGTTTAGATCTGCTTTCATGGGAATAAAATGCTATTACAAAGCCCAGTTTTTGCATTTCATTTTATATTGATCATTGCTAATAGAAGCACATTAGGCAGGTGAAGCATTGAAAACAATGCAACTGTGTAAAGGTTTTGAATAAATGAATGCAGAGTGTAATTTACACACTGTTTTCCACATATTACAAACAGAATACCTAAATAGAAATGGTACTTGGAAGCAGCTTATAATTTAAAAATATGATACAGATTTCTGGAGATGTTACATATTTTTTCAAGATTTAATAAAAGGCAAACTTTCTAACAGTTTCAATTATGTAAAGTAGGACAATGGCATAATAAGCTTTGTAAACAGCATTTAATATCTTTATTTCTTATAGAAATTATACATTTACATACATATGGATTACTTCCAAATACATTAACAGTTTTTGATCACTGTAGATGGCTATCTACAGTTCAGCCATACCAAGAAGTTAAATGTGTAAATTTTCTAATATGAATTACATTGTATACCATAAAGCTTGAAATAGGCATAGTGTGGAATGGAGGTAGAAATACTACCATGTAAATTAGTGTACAATCCCGCCTTCAAACACTAGGGGGTCTATTCACAAAGCTGCCGAGGGAAGCCGAGTGAATGACCGATCTGAAGTGAAGTGAGCCGAACACTGTTCGGCTATTCACTTCAGGCTGGTACGGCTAATTTCAACTGTACTCCTTCGGTTCTACTGAAACGAAGGGGTCCTGGAGCTGAAGCTAGCCGAAGGATCGGCCGAAGCTACGGCCAGATCCTTCGGCAGCTTCTTGAATAGACCCTTAGGTTTCTACTCCAATAGGTATTGAATTGGACATTCTGTTAATGAGAAAATAAGCTGCTCTTTCTTAAAGTTTATTTAAAGTGAAAGCTTGTTTTTTTTCAGTTTGAAAAAAGTAGGAAATTGTTAAAACCCCTTTTTAAGGTGGGGGTTTTGCCATCTGTGTAACATTGGGGAAAATTACCTTTTTGTTTCCTATTCCAGAGTCACAACAGGAAGTAAGAGGAAATCACTCCAAAAAAGGGAAATCCCTTTTTAGAAAGCTGTCACCAGGACAAGCATGCCTATTGGAAGATTCCTCCTCTAATCCTCACTTTGCCAGGATTAGAGGGAATAACATTTACTGTAGAATTTTCCTCACTTTTAGTCCTGGTAACAGTGGTCACCAGGACATATAGGGAGTGTGAATTTCTTCAGAGACACAGAAATTAATGATATCCGCATACAGTAGATTATCTAGATCCTACCCATGCTTAAAAAAGTTTTGTCATGAGATACACCTATGTATTATGGCATATCATAAGCCTTATTCACAGACATTTCCTTACCATTCCAGGTATATACTTTTCTGTTGGGTTGCCTCTTCCATGTGCTTTCTGTAATAGATCTTCATGCTGTAGTTAGAAACAAGAAACTAATATTTTAAAGCAATTTAAGTCTTTCTTTAGTTCAGTCAAGCAAGAACCCAAATTTGTACATGAAAACTAAATTATTCTTAATGGATGGAACATGAATTACATTAAATGGCCTATAAATTTGTTTAACCACTGCCATTTCTCAAACCCACTTTAGTAAAACAAGATTTCAGCTGTACATTTTCCTTACTCACTGCATATTAAATAAAAAAAAAAACACTTTCAGTGTAACTGTAAGCATATGGAAACATTTATTAATTTCCACTTACTTAAAGGAGAACTATGAGGTGAGTGCTTTTCACTCACCTCATAGTTCTAGCCGACCTGTGACAATGAGACTGTCACAGGTCGGCTCACTAGATCGGGAGGTGAATGAACACATACCGGGTTCGCTCACCTCTCGATCCTGTCACGGCTCTCTGCCGTGACAGGGGGAGGGGCTGGATTCCCCTCTCCCCGCTCCGATCTGCCAGCGCTGACTGGCGGAACAGACGGGGGAGGGGGCAGGTACAGCTGGCTCTGCCTCTAGATAGGCAGAGCCAGCTGTCACTCACGCAGCTGGGCGGATCCCGTCATCTAAGTCGGGATCCGCTCCGGCTGCGGCGTCTCAGTATACCGCGAGCTGTAGCTTGCGGTATACTGAGCTTAGGGTAACGGGAGGACGCTAGTTTGTGTCCTCCGTTACCCTAAGGGGAACTATGGGGGAAAACACTGACCCCATAGTTCTCCTTTAAGCTCTGTGGCTTTAAATAGCAAATAGTTCTTACTCTTAATTGCAGTAACCCACCCCATGCAATCACAATTTATAATGCTGTCAACCCAGGGAAGCATAGATTCTGAATGCCTGCTATAGGTTATTGCACCTACACAGGCCACTTTTATTGAATAAGGTTTTATTTGTCTTAAAGTGACACTAAACTCAGGAGTTAGGGCTCAGTCACAATAGATGCAGAGTGTTGCGGCCCGATTTTGGCCAGAACGCACTGCCTCGCATTGCGGCCGGCTCACTTTTTAGTGGGGTTGGAGGGGGCGTGGCGGGCCATTCAAGTGAATGGCGCCGTAGCCATGTCCTCCGGCTGCAATGCGATCCGCTGCACGGGATCGCAAGGCACATTGTGCCTGCGGTCTGATCCTGTGCGGTGCGATCAAAATGCTACAAGCACTATTTTGATCGCACCGCACAGGACCAGACTGCACAGATCAGAGCAGTGGGCATATGTACTTTTTCTGTTTTGTAACATTGTTTCTATCTGCCAAAGGCAATCATTAGTGCCAGTTTATGGAATTATTATTTACAGCACTTCTGTGGCTAATGTATCTACTTGCAACATGCAAAGAATGCTGTAATCAGTTGGTACTTGGACTGAGTGAAGGTCATAGTGGTGAAAGGTAACAAAACAAAGTTTGAGCTTCCCAGCATGTCTTTGCTATTACCATACAATGTACACCTAACATCTTGAAAATAATTACTTTTAGATAAAACCAGATCCCAGTGCTGAATATTGTAAACAATAGTTATGGGGAATATGTTTAAAGTATTCATGTAAAATGCAGTGTTTGATGTCCTATTTTGGGTGCTTCTTTCCTTTTCAAATTCTTCTGTCACATGTGTGAGCTGGATTGTCAATATAACCCATGTCCCATTGTGAATATAAACTCCAGGGCTGAATCCCTGCCGATCCAGAGAGTGACCTCTCCTGTATTGTAATCGCTTTGAAATATTAACGGGCCTTATACTTTGAGTCTCTGGATATTGCTGAACGTCTTATACTTATTAACTTGGAAAAGTACAAGAATGCCTTTCTTTTAATATTTTAACATTTATTTTATGTGGAACATGTTTTCTGATGTACCTGTGTCTAGAAGTGACTGAACTTTCTTTCTATTCCTTTCTATTCTATCATTACAATCCAACTGTTATGTCAATGGGAAAGGGCACACTGTGCCACCCTGTGGGGGATGGGGTCTACAACTGAATAAGTAACCATCAATATATCATGAAATACTTCATCTTTTAAGGGCTATGTTTGGCCATTAGAAAAACTTTGTTAGACCAAATTGTATCTTCTGTCCTGAGTACTTTCAGAGGATGAGCCTTGTATTTACACTGTGTCCTTTTTAATATACATGTTCTACCTAGTATAGCCTAGAATATAATTCAAGCTATTTTCTTCAAGCTTTACAATGTCCATCATGACCATGTTTTCTTAGATTTGGTGATGATATAAGGGAATCCGCATGCAGGTGTGCTGGTGTGGGAATCAGCATGCAGGTGTGGATTTTTTTGCAATTGCAAAATTCTTGAAGCAAGATTGAGTGGACGAATTTTAAAGTGAATTAAAATGTGCCAATTTACCCAAAAGACAGATTAGTCTTGTCACCTCGGCATTTACCTTTCTTTCTCCACCCCCTTGTTTCTCTGTCTTTACCTCCACATTCAACAATATCTTGATGGCTCAGGGGATCAGAAGCTCAGACTATTTTCCCACATATGGATCTACCTACCTGAGCCACCTTAGTTCCAGTTGAATGCAAAGCAGACACTTTTCATTGGTGCTAATCCCGATAGCAGTTTGCAAAGAGGTCCCTAGGTTGCCTTGCAGATTTGGAAATTACTTAGATTGCCTGGTTGCTGCTTAGAAATTAGTTCAAATATAGTAGCCACTAATTTTAAGGTATATAGACTGTCAACATAGCCACTAGGTTTAAGGTATATAGACTGCCTACCATTGTAAAGGGGATGTAAAAAGGGGTACAATATATGCTGTACCTCCATTTTTACCACCAATATTTAGCTACCTGCCACTGATGAGGCTACATCCAAATTTTGCTATAGGGGCTTGTGATTTCTAGTTACACCTCTAGTGGTACTTGAACGCGATCAAATGGCCAAACCTTTTTTGGTAATTTAGTTCTCTTTTGGGTCACAGGATGATATTTACTAATGTCCTCCTGTGACCCAAAACTCAGCAGATAGTGGGCTATTGGCCACTATATGCTGACAGTGCAAAGCTGCACTGCAGCCGGGAAAGATCCCGACATATTGTCGGATCCACCTCACTACCTGCCTCTCTACAGCCAAAACCAGCTGTGCCCCCCCTGTCCCCGGTCTGTCCCTTGAGTCAGCACTGGAGGAACAGAGAAGGGGGGGTGGGAATCCCTGCGTGGAGCGGTGACTAACAGTCACCGCTATCTGCAAGTAGAAGATCGTGAACTGAGCGGTCAGCGGTTTATGATCATTCAGTTCTTCGAGCTATAGAGCTGGTGTGTGACAGTTGCAGTGTTTTATATGCCAGCTTTAAAGGAGAACTATGGGGTCAGGGCTTTTCCTCATAGTTCTCCTTAGGGTAACGGGAGGACACAAACTAGCGTCCTCCCGTCACCCTAAGATCAGTATACCGCGAGCTACAGCTCGCGGTATACTGAAACTCCGCAGCCGGAGCGGATCCCAACATCGATGTCGAGATCCGCCCAGCTGCGTGAGTGACAGCTGGCTCTGCCTATCTAGAGGCAGAGAGCCGTGACAGGATCGAGAAGTGAGCGAACACCGGCATGTGTTCGCTCACCTCCCGATCTACTGAGCCGACCTGTGACAGTCTCATTGTCACAGGTCGGCTAGAACTAGGAGGTGAGTGAAAAGCACTCGCCTCATAGTTCTCCTTTTAACTATGGGGATCAGTGAATTTAACTCTTTTTGTGCAGTTACACTTGGTCCCCTCAGCCCCATTGGCCTCTCCCAGTCTAGTGCTCACTTGTCCCCAATCCACTGAGATCTGACTAAATCACAGCCACTTGTCAAAATGTTTCTTTTCCAGCACATTCTTATAGAACTAAGTACAAGCTCGTACTCTCCCTGGTTATCCTGGTTCAATGTATGGAAGGAGATTCCTTATGGCATATCCCTTATTAAAGCTGAAGCTTTGCTTCTGTGCAGGAGCTTCACTCTCTGATTGTGCAGGGTGACTAGTCTACTATCTGCCCCTCCTGTAGTTTTCTGCAGGCCGCTTGTAGTGGATGGAGCCTGCTGGGTCTCTACCACAGTTCTATTTTTTGTACAGCACACATTTTTAAAATGTATTATCTGGTTTTGTAAAGGCATTTGGTGCACACAAAGTTTATGTGTATCCTTTGTGGTAATTGCGGAAAGCTTTTGTGCCTGACTTCCAGAACTCCATACAAAATATCAAGGTAAAAATGCATAGCCCATTAAAAGATAAAATAAAATGTCAGTTACAGTTCAGAGATTTCCCTGGTAGTACTTGTTTCTGATGACCAGAATCAATCAAATATCTTCCTCTAAGTCCAGATCATCCTGGACCTGCCTGAGCCTGTTACTAGACAGTGAAATGAGAAGCAGCACAGTGGTGAGCTCATTGGTCGCTCTGCTTTTCAAATCCACATGCTTTTTTTGTCAACACATGTCCTGATTGGTTACTTTTACTGCTTCTTCCTCTCACACTCCAGCCATGCTGTATAGGAGCTGCAAGAGGCTCATACAAGATTAAATTCAGATCCTTACACTGCTTGCATTTAAAAAATGTATTTAATTACATATTGATTATATGAATTTGTTGTTTTTATAACTGTCTAGAGTTCAGCTTGAAAACCGACCTCTTTTTAATAACCGATAAAGCCGGACACGGCTTATTTCAAGCAAAAGAGTCTTAGGAGAAATACTGCCTCTAGCTTACCCAATGCGTTTGGGGCAATTGGCACATGTGCAACTTTACAGAGGGCAGCAGAAATGCCACAAGCATATACAATCCCACTCAGTGAAAAGGCACCCTTGTCTGCCATTGGGGCCTGTCATTACTGTTACAAATTCAACAAGGATGACGAAGGAATGAGATTCAAGTTTTATTTAAAACTGCATGCTTCCTTTTAATATGTGTTCTATATTGAGATCCAGGTTCTGAGAAACAACTATTTTTGTTGGTAAAAAATGTAATGCTGTTTTTGCAGGATAGAGAAAAGCTAATAAGTAGTGTGAAAACAAATGTATTAATTAAGAACAGAAGGCGAAGCACAAACAATGTTTTGCCAAATAAATGGCACTCTGAAAGAGAATTAAATGATTAGAAAAACATTTTAATAGGAGTATCTGAGCTAGCAATAATTAGGCTGCCTAAGGAATTTAGCCAAAACTTAATAAAATATTGCAATTAGTGAATTGTCACTATGTTATTGTGTAATATTGTCCTTGCACTTCATCCTGGAAATGTTCTTTTTCCTTGTAGCAAGTTTTCTATTCACGAACTTATGTAGTACAAGTAAATGTTATTAAAGTGAATGTCAGGGCAAAATGTAAAAACATATGGAGTACATCTTTACAAAACATTTACATTTCCTCATGTTTTGCCTATTTTGACTGCCTCTAGAAAGCTTATGTTATGTTTGACTTTAGTCCTTCAGTGATGATGACTGTTTGATGTGCTGTCTGACATACAGATGACCACTAGAGGGTGGCAGATCTGTAAATGCAAACCTTACAGCAAAAACATAATAAAATAAAAGCCACAAAAAAGCAGTTCTGCAATCACAAATACATCCTTTTTTAAATGCAAACAGTGTAAACATCTGAACTTGACCTTGTATCAGCCTCTTGCAGTCCCTGTACATCAGAGATGGAGTGTGAGGGGAAGAAGCAGCACACGTAGCTAATCCGTTCATATGCTGATAGGAAGAGAAAGCAGAGTGACAGTGAGCTAATCACTGCGCCACTTCTCCTTTCACTGTCCAGTAGAAGGCTGAGGTGGGTTCAGGATGATCTGTACCCAGAAGAAGTGGATTAGGTGATGCTGGCCATAAGACTGAGGATTTCTAGTGGCAGAAAAAAAAATACTGTTGGGAAATCTCTGGCTTGAAGCTGAATAATGCAGCAAAAATCTAGTTTTGCTATTTTACCTTTTAATGGGCTATTCAATTTTATATTGATAAGTTGGCTGGAGTTCTGCTTGAACCACAGAGCAGTAACCACGTAAAATAAAAAAGATAACATTAAAGAGTTACTGAAAATATGCACTTTCAAAATAAAATATAACTTCATTGTAAAGGGGTTTATCATTTCCATATTGCATCAGCTGGCGGTCAGTCTCTCTGCTTAGACCCTGTTATCAGCAGTTTTCAGTGGGGTTTTTTTTTCTTTCTTTTTTTTTCTTGGAATCCAGGTTTTAAAACTATTTCCACAGTGTCATCTGAGATGTACCAATATGCATGAGATCATCTGCTGTGTAGTGTTACCTGTTTCCTTTCTGCACCATGTACATCAGCCAGAACACTTTTCTCTATGTGCTTCCTTCCCTCCTTCCCTCTTCCGTCCCGTTTGGGTCCTTCCCACTCCATTGGTTTTGGCTCACATTCTTGAGTTTTCCTCAAATCCAGTTCTCTTTTCTGATGCTGCAGTCAAACAAACAAATAATTAGCATTTGCAATCCCACACAAATTCTGGTTACGGTGTAACTTTTACCTGCTGTGTGATTTTGAAAGACAGGCGTTTTGTCTGATAAAAAAAGAATTCTAAAGATGAAAACTGACTGTGCTGTTTGTAGAAACCATCACCTATACCATCCACATAAAATATGAGATCTAATAAGTATTGAATAGTGTTGAAATAGTTAGTACTGAACAACAATAGACTATGAGTACCTTCCATCTTTGATGGATTTCTACGTAATGTCTTAAAGAGAAACATTATAAACAAGGGGCAAGGTCAGTAAATAATCTCAACATGTTGACCTGTAATGTTTGTCAAGTTCAGGTGTCACATTATGCTCTGAACATATTAAAGCAGTAGTCTGATGAGGTTAGATTTCTACCACCACAGTTAATAAGTTATAATGCAAACCTAATGCTTCTTTTTTTTTTTTGCAAGCTGTCGTTCATTCTCATAAAATATCCATTTATAGCCTGCACTCCTCCTTTCTGTGTTGTCTGTATCTCAGTTCTAAACATTTACTTGGATGCCTTCATCCCAGAGCCTGAAATATGGGACTATTTAGACTGATTTTTAATTAAAGGAGAACTATGAGATGAGTGATTTCCACTCACCTCATAGTTCTAGCCGACCTGTGACAATGAGACTGTCACAGGTCGGCTCAGTAGATGGGGAGGTGAGCGAACACATACCAGGTTCGCTCACCT